TGGAGGAATCTAATCTAAAAGAACTAGATTTTGGCTGCACCTTGCATATAGGAAATAGTCTGGAAAAGGTGGACTTCATGGGAGGCCTACCCACTGCATCATGTAAACTAACTGAGGGATAATGGGAGGAAAAAAAAAAAAAACAACAGCAGAATTTGATGGGGTTTTGTATACATTTTACTGCTGGTACATCTGACTAAAAATCATGAAGAATACTAACAGGGATGCTTCTGGTACCATAGACCAATTGAATCCAATAGAAATAGACAATAGACAATAACGTGTTGTCTATATGTTAGACAGCTATTCTTGAGCAAAGCAATTGAAGTAGGCTTATGAACCTCAGCCTGAAAATCTCTGAAGGAAAAGTATTTTGCTCACTGCTAGGAGGCAAATGACTGGGTTCCAGTTATGAAAAACAGCCAGCAGCTCCTACTCAGGGCTATTGCACTGTCTCAAACCAGCAGTCACATCCACCTCCTTATGGTATTCTGTATACAAAGTAATTATATAGGATCTCCCAGTATGATAACAGATTTTGATGCACTTAATAGGGGACCTAACAGAGTAAAAATGCAGGTTTTAAACCAGCTGTTTTCACTTTTTACTCTTTCAGTTTTGATTTATTCTCTGGAGACTTTTGAGATACCTGGAAGGCACCTCTTAAGGACTCAAGTAATTTAACTTCTTCTGTCAAAGCTTATTGATAGACAATGCTGGGCTTTTATTTTACACAAAGATTATTTCATGTCAGGAAGAACTGGTCTAGTTCTCATGTAATCAGAGTACCATTTTTCTTCTTCCCTTCTGAGAACAAAGTATCTCTCTAAGAGTGTTTTTAGTTAGAAGGCAAGGTAAGTTCTCTAGCTGCAGGATGAATCCAGGACAGATTAGTAGCTAGCACCATTTCACATCATTTCCTGTGTCCAAGACATTTACTTGGAGATAGGACTATGAGACCACAGCCACCCTGTAGTGGAAGCTGGTAGAGAGGTGGCATCACAAAACAGACACCTGTATGAAGGCTCCTGAATCCCGGTCTCTACATCTTACCTATGACTCAAGGCACAGGAGTGAAATGAAGATCTTCAAATCAAGGCAAAGATAAACAGGACATGTGGTAGTGTCATGGCCCTATTTGAAGCTGATGAGCAGCAAACAAACAGTGATTCAAAAGGTGAATCTGCCTGACAAATTAGATGTCATTCTCACTGGCGTAACAGGAAGCATCAGGTTATCATTAGTGAGAGGGAAGATACTGACTTAGAGTTTTGCCACTTGAGTGCAGCCTAAATACTGTCTGTGGAAAAATAAATAAATAAAAAGAGAGAGAGAAAATGAAGGTAGATGTGTAAACAAAAGCAAGAAGTGAAAAGCCTTGACACCAAGAAGATACTGAAGCGATGAGGAAAATCTTGAATTTTTAATGCAATATGTACAGTGAGATAAGAGGGGGGGAAAAATGCCAGCAAGATGCTTGCTTGTTTCAAACAGGGGAAAAAGAAAAAAAAAAAGAAAAAAAAAAAAAAAAGATATATATAGTTGTCTGAGTGCAGTATCTGCTTCTCTCCATGGGAGACTAAAAGCTGTCAGCTCAGGTGTCTAAGAGGATTAAGGGTTCTAAACCTATGGCATTTCAGTATGATGAAAAACTTACTTGCCTTAGACTTCTTGTGAACTCTGACTTCTAACTACACTGTTTGAGATATAGATAGTGCATATTTACAAAAATCACTATTCTACCTCTGACATATGCGTCCTCTTGCACTATGCCGTACTTTTAGAGGAAAACAAAATAACTACTGTGAAATAACCTTCCTGAATGTGGAAGCTGATTTTTAGTTAGTGTCTATGAAAAAAAATTGGTTTCCTCATTAATGCTGATTTTTAGCACTGTTTGATGTACTCTGGAGTTGTACAAATATTAGGAAGCAAAGAGAAATATATGTAATATATGCAGTTTTATAGGATACATTGCATTCTTTAGTGAGAAGCCTAAGATGAGTTCTGTGTGTACTTTTTTTTTTCCAGAAATTCTGTAGTATTTGAATTTTCATGAAATATGGAATGTAACACTTATTTGCTCCTAACATCTTCATCTAATCTTTGTTATAAGACAAAATTTGTTCTAGCACTTTATGTTTGTCTTTTAAGTTTTGATTCATTCTGGAATTGCACAAACCTCTAGTTGTTAAAAGTCTGTGATTAAAACAAGGACAAGGAATTTGATAAGTTTCTATATGGTTCTTCCTCACTTTCAGAGAAACCCCATTGGATATCTTCTATGGAGTAACTAAGGAAACACCAAATATTTTTCCTTCTTTTTATCTATTCTCCAGACTTGAAATAATCTCAGCACTATTTCTCATCTCTATACTAACTGGCCTTACCTACCTGGTAGCTCACAAAGAGTCATTGCCAAAGTTCAAATAATTTAGCTTTGAACTCATTTTATTTTTGCTGAACTCATTTTATTCTCCACTCTTAAGAAGGTAATGGTATTTACCGAGCATAAGATCTGTGATATAGCAAATACAAGTAAAAGGCCGTAGCTTTGCACAGACTTGACAGAGCATAATCTCAGGTTATGTCTTGACCTCAGGTTTTTTTAATATTTGTCTACTGTTGAGGTGACTGTTGCCCCAGCTGTTTTAGCTTAAATCCTGTGAATGCCATATAGGTAAAAAGTTCATCTGAAATGAAGAGTCAGCAGGTAACAAACTGCAGCCCTTTAGGGGAGCAAAGGCTATGAGGTAGAAAAAAACATAAAAAGTTCTGCAAACCCAGCACTAGTGTTTTAGCTTATTCTAGTCCACTTTTATATTGATTGAAGTTCTTCTCAGCATTTTTTTTTAATGACTTTTCATATCTTTGTAATCCTTGCTACATATTGAGCATAAACTGAGCTTAGACTGCAATCTCAGCAAGGGTATGTGCGTTACGGATGTTACTGTTAAAAATGGAATGGAATGGAATGGAATGGAATCACAGATTTTTTAAGATTGCAAAAGACCACTAAGATCACCTAGTCCAACCGTCAGCCCATTATACCATGGCCACTATCAATGTCCCCCAGTGCCATGTAGTACCAGAAAGAAAGAAGCCCTTGCACTCCTTGTACACAGAGCTGATGTTTGTGGAAACATTTAATTTCACCACACTACATAAGTTTGGAGAGTTTCAGCAAGACCTGTTGATAAACTCAAATAATACTATTTAAAATTTCTGCTTTTAACCATTTTTCACTAAATAATAGAGTATTAAATGACTACCAGACAGATACATGCTGAAATGACACTGCATTCCTTGGATGCCATATATATCTGCAATGGCCACTTCTGAACTTTCTAGATGCCCAGGAGGCCTGAAAGCCTGAATAACTGTCCAAAGTGTAGGCGTACAATGCTTCTATGGACAGTAATCAAGCTCAGAAATCGTAGGCTACCTACCTTGCTTCAGTTCTGACTGGAGATATGTGCCTAAAAAAAAAGTCACTGTAAGAGGTATTTTATGTTCAGTCTAGATCAAGGATTTGGATGTATATACTTAGAAGTATATGGTGATTTCAAGTATTTGAAGGAAGCAGAAAACTCCAATAAATGCCTCAATCTGAGATACATCCATCTAAAATTCTGTATGGAATTTGGAATGATTTTAACCATATCTGGAACAGTGGGAGGCAGTAAGCATTATTACAACACAGACTTCACTTACTATTCTTCCTTCCTTCAATAAATAAATAAATAAATAAAAAGGTCTGATAATATAATTTGTAGTATCATGAAAAAAAATCACTATCATACAACTCCTGTTTATGAGTTCTGAATTGTGATATTTGAATAGAGGATTATATATATATGTATATATATAGATGCTATTATATATATATATGTTCTCTTTTGCCATCACAATATTTTTTATATTATGTGTGTTTCTTTCAAATTATATTTTAATTTTTCATACTTTTTTATGGTGTATTTATTTTTACAATAAATTAGGTCTTTTATTTTTTTCAAGCCCTTCTTACAGGAAAGCAGAAATCACAAAGAGTTCATGATATGAGATGCTACTAAAATCTTATTTGCATGCTTTATTATAGACCACTGAGGAATATTGTAAACTGTATTAACTGTACGTATAACAGAAAACAGGAGGTTCTCTGAGACAGGAATCATTACTTAGAATGCATTTGGTAACAGATATGTCCCAATGGAGATCAGTTGAGGCTTCCAGCACTGCCGCCGCACAACAATACAAAACAGCTCCAAAAAAAATCATGTACTACATATACAAATGTTCATTCTGTATAAGTTCTGTATCTATCAAATTATAAACTGTACTTAACAAGCACTAAAATGTACTTGCTAAGAAAGGGAAGAGAATCAGTAATGAGATATGGCATTACGGTCAAAAATGAAGCTAGCAGAAAGCTCTTTTGAAGCAAGCAGAAGGAAGCTCTGTTCAACCCTGTTCTGAACATCATCTTCCAGAATTTTTACTTTCCAGTGGTAAGAGTTTCACTTCATTCAACCTTCACATGATTCTGCTCAGATTCTTCTAGATGAAAGTTTATGGTCATTTTTCTCTATTTGGCTATAACCTGTACTCATGCTAAATGGCAACTATATTCGATTATATTAAGCTGTGCAGCTTGATTAACAGAAATGATGTTTTCAAAATGAAAAGGATGAACGAGCTAGTGAATGGCTGGTTGGCAAAGAAATAGACGGATTTTTTAAAAAGGAGTAAAATGTAAGTCATGGCATACATCTCAGAGCAAGTATTACTGCAGAGGAAAGTGAATTACGATTAGAATTGAAAACTGCTTGACCCTGGTATGGGAACTGCTGAATCACAGCCTGAACTTCTGATTGACCACCTGAGGCAAGCAATGAGTCAGCCACGGGAGCACAGGTGAAGGTAGTTCACCTGTGCTGCTGGAAGGGGTGGAGCCTGGCTCCACCTCTCCTAGACCCATTTAAGTGCTGACTGCCAGCAAGGAAGGATCTCTTCCTGGAGATCACTTCTTGGGGAGAATGTTGTAACCCTATGATATTGGTAAGTATTTTTCACTTTTTATCTTTCCATTGTGATAATTCTTCTTAGCCTAAAGCTCTATATGCTTATTGATCGTACAGCCCTGTGGAGATTTTTAATTTCCTTTTTTACTCTGTATTTTTGTATATATTCTAAGACCAAAATGAGACACCTTAAGAAAAGCAGCACCTGGGAAGCTGGAAAACAATTTTTTGTCCAAAAGATATTATTGATATTGCTTGAAAGAGAAGTAGGAATTTGGTTTGTCTATGCCTTACTTTTTCAGGAAACAGATTTGTCCATCTAGAAGAATCTTTCTATTATCTACTCTTTCTTGCAGAGTGATATTAATTGTTTGTATGAGAACAGTCATAAGCCATAATTCAGTCATAAGTCATAATTCTATTCTACCTTTCTAGGTAGAATAGAAAAATTTCATATAACATTCCTTATAGTTTTCCCTTGTAATTGGAAAGCACTTACTTCATCTCCTGTTTTCAAGTCATTTCCTCACTGTTTCCTTTCTTCTGATGCTGCTAACTGAATATTCCAAAGACTGATCTCATCCTAAGCATCACAAGAAGATGAAAACTTAAGTTCCTATGCAAACTCACTATGTAATAAATCTTTCTCTTTGTGAATGGAAGAATATTTTTATCGCCTTCAGTTTGTGCTTTTCAGCAGTCTGTTCATCCAAACTGCTAAGATTGTACCTGAAAAATAATTTTCAACAAATGGAAGTTGCTATTTTTTGATAAACCACAAAACATGTTTTGGTTGCCAATAGCTGCGTTTTGAGTGGATTTTTCTTCTGCCAGAAATGTGGAAATAATGTCATTCATTTTTCCAAGCACTGAAGCAGTAGTTTAAAATTAATCAACTAAAATAAAGTATATGACCAAAGCAGGAACGGAGAGATGTAATTGTTGGACTTTAAGTTAAATTAAACTTAACTGGGAACTATTGATTATAACCTATCCCTAATAGTTGGATTATATAGTTGAATTTATGGGACTGCAAGAGTTCTGCTGGCAAATGCAGCAGACACAGCAGTGTGCACAAATTGATGGAGAAAAGGAGGCTGGAAATGGATGAAAGCAGGGAGGATCTACTACTATAATTGTGACAGCCTGAAATGCCACTACCCCAACACATCAGAGGCCTCAAATCAGAGCAAGATCTTGAGGGAAGCTGCAGATCTGCAGCTTAGTACCTGCTTGCCCAGAAGGTGCTAATGTTCGTGAATTCAATTTTAGAATCACAGATCCTCTCTGAAAATGGAGGAGTGCTGTGAAGGGGCAGGATCCACTCAACAAAGTCAACAAAGAGCATCTTTATTGACAGGCTGGATGGGCTGGTAAGGAGACAAGAGAACTACAGGCTGTTCAGCCTATCTTTGTTCCCTAGCAAAACTGTGGAGTGAAATCTTCTGTAGTGCATTTCAGAGGAGTTGAAGGAGAAGCAGCTAAGTGGGAATACACAGCAGAGATTGATATCTGTTGTAAGGGAACTGTTATGTCACAGCTGAACTGCTGATTGAGCACCTAGTGAAGGGGTGGTTGGCCCAGGAAGCACAGATGCAAGCAATTCACTTGTGCTTCTCACATGACCAGAAGAGGTGGACCCTGAGTCATTTACACCTCCACGGGGTGAGTGTCTCCTTAATGAAGGTTGTTTCCTGAGTATCTGTAGTCAGAGGCCCCATTGCCAGTTGGACGAGTTGACTTTTTCCTACATACAATCATTGATATTCCTAAGGGCATTTTATCATGAAAAACTTATCAGAAGCAATTTGCTATTTCCAAGGGCCACTGAATGTTCAAATGGATGACTTCCTCTGAGGAAGTAATTGGAAATGTGGGTGAAGGGAAGAGCAGCAAATTTGTTTTTATCTTACCTTTAGGCTTTAATGCTGTATCCCATAACTGTATATGAGTTGAGACATCGTGGTCTGGATTGGTGGATAGCAAGGTGAATTAAAATCCAGCTGGGTAACTGGTTTCAGGAAATAGAGGTTAATATGTAATGTTTAGTAACAAAGGCAGCAGCGTGGGGGTCTGCGCTGGGCCCTCTACTACTTAGGATCTCTATTAAGGACCTGGAGGAGGCAATGGATCACGCTGTCATCGACTGTAGGTAATACCAAACTGGGGCATGTGCCCCTGTATTTGAATTCCTCAGAGGAAGCTGAGCTGAGGAATTACCAAAATGAAAGAGGGGCAGAGAAGCTGGAGCACTTGTCTCTTCAGGGAGGAATTGGGCTTCTTTGTCCCTGAGAAAGAGCAGCTTCAGGTGGACCCACAAGCAAACTCCATTGCACCTATGAGGCATTCTATTGATAGAGCAAGGCTGTTCACATTGAGGGAAGGAGACAATATCTTATAAGTGAGGTTCAGATGAAACATCAGGAAAACCTTTTTTCATCATGAGAACAGGAACTAGCCTGTGTTGTCTGGGAAGGCTGTGGAGTCCCCATCTGAGCATGAATGACAGGACAAAGCCCTCAGCAACCAGGTCTGGCCTCAGAACTGTCCTCCTAGCTATCAGCAGGTTTGGACTGGAGACCTCCTGACTGTCCTTCCAACCTGAGCATTCCCATGGTCTGTTACCCTGGAAAGCTGATATCCTATTTGGTTGCACCAGCAAATGCTGTACAGATACCTCATTCACGTTGCATTGCTGATTGAAGTATTCTATTTACATGAAATTTAATTGGCTTTTTGCTTTCAGATTTTTTTTATAAACAGCCTTGTTTAGCCAATCATCTCCTCTCGTGGTAGACCATTGTGCTCTGTCTCAGAGCTGTAGAAACAAACTGGGAACCTACTTTACCATGCCTCCTGTTCAGAATGGCAGCCCTGCCTGCATGATATTGCTCACTATGTCAGTCTAGCCCACTTATTGTTTCAGTCCATCATCCTGTCATTCTAACTGCAGTATAACAGTTTAAAAATACGGTTTTCTTTCATTGTGAACAATAGAACTACTTTCATCCTAAGAATTTCTTTTTTCTTGTTTAGAAAGCAAAGAAAAAGATTTTCTACTTGTATGCTTGGAAGCCCTTCTAGTTTCTAGTCTTATTCTCTCTCCAGGAGGCATTGGCCTCTCCATGTCTCACCTCTCATCTATTGTGTCAGGCCAGCAGAAAGGGAAAAATATGGTCACTCTTGTCAGATTTTTCAGCTTGAAGTTGTTTTATTAGAAGGGATTCTTAATGAAATTATGACTGCTGGGATAGCAATAAGCTATGAAATATTTACCAACAGAAAATAGCAATTAAAGGCAAGAAATTCAGTAAGCCAGTACTATCTTTTATTTTTTTAAAGGAAGTTTATTTTGGGGATAAAAAGTCACTTATCAAATGAATACAAATATAGCTGCTTTCTGTTCCTGTCACTGTTTAATTTGCTGGTTGACTGCGCACCTCCCTTGTATCTTAAAGATGCATCGATTAAAATGAAGTATTAATCCAGATGAAACCAGGGCCAGAAAAGCAAACAAAAAAAAAAGTTGATATTTAGTCAATATTGGCTAAATATATAAATGTATGGCTGAGTTCGAGGAACACATTGCTGTAGTGAGGTAGCTACCAGTGCAAGTGTTCTGCAGAAGCACTGCTGATCTTTTCTGCTGAAAGTAAATATTTCAGCATGTCAGAAGCAGTAACTCAAAATATTTATTGGAAGTTCAGTGATGGATGAGGTGTGAGGGAGCTCAGCAGGAAAGCAGTAGGCTGTCTGACTCATTGTGCTTTAATTCTGGTTGGGAGGTACAAAGATAAAGTCAGTATGAGCAAATAAGAGGGTGAGAGTGTACACAACTAGCTGCAAGTGAAAAGGGTCTGGTAAGCTCCCAACACTGGGAACTAAGCCGAAAGTCACCACTGCACAGCACTGTCCATAGCTGCATTCCTGAAAACAGCCATTTTAGTGGAAATAACAGTTTTTAAAGAGGAATGGTGGGAATTCTTCTGGTGAAGTTTGCTTCTCACATAGGAGTTCACTGATAAAAATTTGAGTGGATAGATCCTATTTATTTTGCCTTCCTTGTGATGGTACAATTGAAAGAGAAACTCAACGCTTGGTATAGACAAGCTACCCAGAAGTGAATAAAACCTATGGACTCAGCATTGCACTTTCTTAGTGAATGGGGTGTGCAGCTAAAGGTTAAATGAGGCTGCTTCCTGCTCAGGTATTATGTATGTTTTCTGGTTCTCAACTTCTGTCTTTGTGTTTTCACAAGTATATTATCTTTTCCATGCCCTTTGCAGTAAGTTATTCCAATGCTCATTTCCTCTAACTTAGAAGTGCTCCCAATGGTATTTTCTACCTTCATGTTTTCATGAGACTGCACAACGTATGGTGGATACAAATCCTGTGCAGCCTGAGGAGACCTGAGCAGGAGACTTATAAACATTGCAGATAGAGATGTCTAGAGAAAACATGCTCTTTTTCCCCACTGTAATAGAAGGCACTTTAAATGGATGGTAACAGCATCTCCAGTAAAAAGAAAAGCAATGTTCTCTGCATGTGAGAATCCTAGAAGAGCTATGGTTTACCCAGTAGAGACAAAAGTTGTATTCTGGCAGTGAAGTACTCCTCACCCCTTTGCGTTCAGACTGCAGAAAACAGAATGAATGCACCATCCAGTAGGAAAAAAGGAAGAAATTATATAAAAAAACATGTTCATTTGAGGCTCCTGCTGGTAAACTGCACCTTTATCACTATATTTGTTTAATATATATTTCAATTCATTTACTGTGTTTCATGACAGGAACACAGCTGCTGGGTGAAGACAGTTAAATATATATGTATATATCTATATTGTAAACTTCCCCCCTCTTTTCAAACACTGAAATTGGTCAGCAGGATTCCATGCAGGCTTAGCAAGTATCATCAAAACCTCTGATAAAAATCCTGAGACTGTGCTTCTCAGTAGGCACCATGTGTGACATCAGTGGCTCTTAAGGTTGACACAAGTGCAGGCACTTGTACAATCAGAGCCTTACATTTCTATTTTTTCAAAACACTGCTTGAGCAAATACACTTACTTTCTGCAAACCAGAAACAAGAGCAAGAAATAAAGTGTGAAGTCATTGCAATGCAGATACTTTACTCTTAGCCCTGACCATTTTTTCTAGTGATGTTCATAGGGGGCAGATCCTCAGTGGTGGAGGGAGGCAGCATCATCTGTGGCAATGTTCTTCCAGTGCTGGAAGAATTGGTGATGGCTAAAGGGATCACTGTGGTATTTTGGACTGTAGTGGGTTTTTTCTGCTTTCAGTGGTGTAGAGATCTACTGCACCAGACCCCCAAAAAAGCAATGTAATATTTAGTTTCTGTGCAAAGTTGTTACTATTTCTGTCTCCTTTGGGGGAAGAGGGAGGAGCAACCAAATTCTCCTGTTCTACATTTACTTCCATAAGTGATATTGCTTACTCCTAAAGAAGAAAAATTGTAAAAGGAAACACCTCTTTAAAAGGGATTGGATATACATCTTCATACCAGCAAAGATGTCTCTAACTGAAAAGTGATCTTATCTGTGGTGGTCCTTGAATGAAAGCTGAAGATCTTTCTTGTTTCCATTGAAGGACACAGAGAAATAGGCACATAGGAATTTGTTTTTGTCTTTGTGTGGTTAAACACTGTTTTCAAAATTCTATATTTCTTTTTCTCCTAAACCAACCCCCAGACCTACTGAACAGTTACTTTGGAGATTCCTCTTTTGTTAAAGGAACTAAGGATGATGCCAATAGAAGATGAGTTAGAATTCTCATGCATGCGTGGCAGCTCCTCAATTGAAGAGATGCTTTCAATATTTCCAAGCATGCACACAAAAGCCAAAGCTGTAGACACAAGGTCTTAAATACGTTGTATCATTATCTTCAATTCCACTTCTTAACAATGGTCTCTTTTTTACTGTTCTTTAATACTTTCTTCCTTTACCCTGAATATCCTTTTTGTTAAAAGCTCAATAATAGAAAATGTTCCTGCATGAACCAAGAAGCATTAACAAAGTATTTTATACTTTTTCTAAATGTTTCAGGTTGGCTGTTCACATCTAGGTACCCACTACAGCCTATTGTAAAAAGTACACTGTCAAGTGAGTGATTTTTTTTTTTTAATCCATCTAGGGTTTTCAATAGTGCAGCTGCCTTGCTATCATTTCCAAGTAACTACTTTGAATGAAAATAAATCAAATGTGTGGAATAATGATAAGCATTATGATATAAGCATAATGATATAAGTATAAGCAAGAATACTATGCTTGCGAAAGTGCTAGAATATATGAAGGCCCTATTTCTACAGAATTCTTTGTAACAAATATACTTTCTCAATTTGATATGGTTTTATCTTTCTCATTATTTTGCAAATGTAATCATATTTTTTTTTTTACTTCAAATACTTCCTTAATGAAGAAAGAAAATACAATTGCAATGTGCTTCTGGGGAAATAGAAATGCCTAAACATTTGCCTATGAAGTGCGGCTCATTTCATTTCTGAGTAGTAATACAGTGAATCTATTTAGAATTTAACTTTTACCATTCCACAATTCATACAGGTCTTTGCAGCCCTGAACCAACCTGTATTTGAAGATCTGAGACAATGTCCTCCTCACTTGAATAAATTTTTCTGCTCTCCCTATATCCTACTGAACTAGATTCTTTTATTAGGTACTTTCACAACTTTTATTTCTTTTTTTAAATCCAAAAAGTTTTCCCTTTTACATTCTCTCTCTCTCTCTCTCTCTCTCTCTCTCTCCAGGCACACAAGCAGCTCTGACCCATCATTTTCAGTGCTTCCCTGACATTCTTGGTTAAATTTTTGACTTAGTATTGTTATACAAGCACTGTCACTGCTTTAATATGAAGGATATAAAATAATTATTGCACTGTTTATGTCAACTACATACAAATCATTTTAAGGTGGTCTTTGTATATTCATTTTTTTTATTTTCTTGACCAAGAAGACTATTTTAAATATTCAAATACTCCTGCATCTTGAGTTCTTTCATCCTTCGTGATCCCATATTGGACTCGGCATCATTCTCAATTAATTACCTGGAAATACAATAAATGAAAAAAGCATCTGAAGATGGAAAACTGGGAACAAATCATGGGATTGTAGATTCAAAACTAAAAACTAGCTTCATAAATGATCCTAAAATATTTGAATTGGTGTCAGTTTTTTTAATTGTATTTTCATTAGGGTACTTTGCATTCTGCCTTTCTTCATTTTGTGATAAGAAATGTTCAGAAGTTCCGAAGTGTAACAGCAAGATCTCAGGTGTGTTTGCTAAGTTCAGGTTTTGGTTTGAAAGGAGTGTGCAAAAATTAGACATTAATTTCCAATCAAAACACCTACAGTTCTAGTTTTCAGTGCACAAATGCCTACCTGAACCCATCAAGATTATTTATGAGAGTTTGGCTATAGAATTTCTGAATATCTGCAGTTGGGTGACAATTGAATCCAGTTCTGCCCTTTATTCCTGGATGCTGGCTGAACATTGCCACCTCATCTTTTCAACTTCCCACAAAGCTTTAGTGAGCTCATTCAGAGAACTCAACACTGGCACTATCAAAAAAGTGTACAATCAATGAATATACAGATGCTATGGTATAGCAGAGATCTTGGCTGTGTAGTTGAAAATAGAAAAGATAGGAACATTCACCCATAGCCTAGGGTCACTTAGGAAACACCAGTGGAGTGGATCTCATCTCGTGCCAATTTATGGGAGGGAGGTGAGGTTCTTTTAATATCTGTATACCCGGTGTGAGATTAAGAAACAACGGTTCATATGTTAGTCCAACCAGTTTATTATACATCCTAATTACGGAGATGGGGAAGGGAAGGAGGGCAATAGAAAAGATAGGAAAGAAGCAAGAATGCCGTAAAGCAGGGATAGTCACCACCAGAATCCAGCAGTGGTCCCGCTGCACACTGCTTCGAAGGTCCAAGGCAGAAGCAGCAGGGGGGGAGACCAGCAGCAGCGTGGCCGGTGTTGGGCAGGTAGCAGGAGGCAGTCGCAGAGCCAATCCGAGAGGGGAAACCAGGACTCAGGTAGCAGGGCCAGGAGAGTCCGTCAGCATGCAGGCATTCCGTAGTGAGGAATCTGATGGCAGACACCTTTGTTCTTCTTCAGCATCATGGTAGAGCACAGAGAAAGTCCAGGAGGGAGAGAGTGCAGGTTGCGAGGCTTCCTCGTGGCTGAAACCTCTTCTTCTTGATGAGGAATCTGTTGCGAGAAAACCTCTCGTTGTTCACAACTGTAGGTCCCCATTTTATCCTTCTTCTCTTTCTGCCTACTTGACATCCCTGGGTGCTTGAGCAGGAGTCATGCGAGTACCCCCTGAGATGGCCATCTTCCTCGAGATAAGCCCACACAAAAGACCGCTTCACAGCCACTAAGCTGCAGTTTATCTCTCTCTCATTGCCCCTGGCCTTGTCCATCTGTGCCCCTCAGGCAAAGGATTTCACAGCCCCTGCCCAGGACTTGCCTGAGCTTGTTCATCTGTGTCCTCAGCAAGCTTTGAGACAATGATGTAAAAGAATAATCTCTTACACAACCCCATGACTCAAAGGTTGCTTTAAAATGGGACACAGATGATCCATGATGGTGAGAAAAAGATAGCAAGCATAGGGGAAAGAAGGGGGGGAGGGAGAGGGGCAGGGAATCAAAAGTTTCATACAATCATTACAACAGATTCAGTGTTGTTTACAAATGTTGCCCTGACCTGCTTGACTTCCCCATCAGTAGAGGAGGTTACAGAGTACATAGATGATACAACACATCATATAAAACATGGAAGCATACAAGAAAAAAAACATAAAAGTTGCAACAGTACACAATATCAACTTGCCACAGACACCATGCCGTGACTCTACAGGACTGGTGACATGAATATTACATAATGAAAAGGTAGAAAGTGAAAAGAGACGACCATACACTTGACAATAACCATACATCTAACAATAACCAATAACAAATAAATATTACAAATAGAAATACAACATTACCACCCACAACACAAAATATAGTACTTTTGCAACAAAAACACAAAATGTAATCAAAGGTATATTCAGCATTCTAGCATGCTTGAATTTTCAATATTTCTGTCACAAATTACACAAATTATTAGAATCCTTTCTGTGTTCAGTCAAGATCCACAGGAGTGTTCTGTAAAATAAAAACAAGACAACGACTTGCCCTTTTTGGGGGCTTTGTTAATATGGTTAAAAAATGAGGGATCAATCCAGCAATTGTTAATTAAAATTGTTAATCCAGCAATTAGAAGTGTTAATTTTATATTCCTTTTTGGGAGTGTTCTTAGCCTTCCAAGGATATTTGTTAAGGGTTAGGGAAACTGGCCTCGGGTTAGCTGAGCCAATCCATACAGGCTGGCCCGGGAGATAAGTGTTTCCCTTTGCTGTGAGCTTTCTAATGCATCCACCCTTCACCGCCCCCACCCCGTTCACTTGGGAGGGGCGAAGACATCAGGTTTCTGGCTTGGACAGCCATTCAGGTTCCCTGAGAGGGGCCCTAGGACCTGGCGTTTTGCTTTCCTCAAGATTCTCGAGCTTTTGCTCTGGCCACTACTTAACTAATTTCTCTAACCTGACTGTGGGTAATCCATTCATCAGATCTCATGGAACAGCCTTTAACCAGCCCAGTGTCCAGAGACAATGACGTTTATGATCAATGTTCCACCTACCAGTTTTTACTGGCATTGAGACCCTTCCAGACTCACTGAGCTTTGGGCTAGGAGGCCTGGGAGCAAGGCTGACTGCTGCAAGCCTTACTTCTCTTGGTTCAAATTTACTAGAGGAAGAAGAAACCACCAGCCCATATTTTCTCCCATAGTTAATTAACTCTTGGGCTATCTCCCCCCACCTCCATACTTCGCATCCTGACTGCAGATGGTTGGGGTTTACAGTTTCTTCTAACACTGTCCGGGTTCTTTCTCCCTGAGGCATACAATTTCAAGCAAGGATACAAGCTGTGTCTATGGGTTTCAGTGATTCCGGAAGCCCTCTACTTAAAGGGGTCATCCTCTCAGGATCAAAGGGCATCATCATGGGTGATTCATGATGTGGCTGCAGCTTTCTATCATACATCAGTTGGAAACAAACAGCCTTTTGAACGCTCTCTACTAATTGGTCAGTTGTTCCAGTAATGGCAAGAGGGTCTCCCCTGTCTAAAGGGTTGAGATCACCTGCCCAATAGGCAGCCCTTTGTGTTAATGACCAGGGAGCACGATTGTTACCGGTAGTTAGAAATACTCCTGGTCCCCAATAACCTTCTGCTTCCTTTTCTGTCAATCGAATCTGATCGCCACCAGTGAGACTAACCCTCCATGCATATTCTGTTTCTGATTCCTTTGGAGAGCAGCTAAAGTCCTTTTTCAGTTTTGCTAGCTCGGTGGCTGAGAACGGAATTTCCTTAACATTCATTTGAGGATCTAGATCCTCGCCGTTATTGAAAGTATATTCGGTTTTTAATCAAAGGATGCAATGGGGCTATTGGGATTTCTAATTTGTCTAGTCTTTCCTTTATTTCTTGTAGTTTCTCCCGAGGAAATGTTTTTTTCTTGAGGCAAACTATGGGTGACAGTATGGCTAGTACCCTTACATGTTAACAGTTCCTTGAAAGCCATCTGCAACATAGCCGAACTACGTTTCTCTCTTTCTAATTGTTCTTCGAGATTAACTACTTGATTCTACAGAGTTTTTACTAATTCCTGCAGTGCTTGTATGGTTTGGAGTTCTGCCGAATGCTTTTCATTTCGGAACTCCACAGCAGCTTTTAAAGCAGCCCCGAGTACGGCACAAATAAACGAGTTTCCTTTTCCAGCTCGCGTACGAGCCTCATTCTGTAAAACACTAATACGGTCTGAAACACTGCAAATTATGCCAACTTTGGCTTGCCCAGTCCACCCCTGATAAAGAGGGACGAGCACCATGCTTTTCTAGAAGGTCAAATAACACATCTTCACTTTTCATACTGGCAATACTGTCACTCATTTCTTAATACAATGGAAGATCTACACTAAGGAGGAGGTACACGTGTTCAAAAGCTCACTTAATCCTTACCGCTCCTCCCAGGGAGCTACACTACACCTAAACAAACGCAAATGCTCCAATCACGCCTCCCTTTTGTTGAGGGGAGCACACAAAGACAAGAGGCTAAACCAACACCTATTAGGTTTCAATGTAAGGAAAAAAAAAATTGTAAACACCACACCTAAGTTACAGTTTCACTCCTTGGAGCTCCAGGAAGCACACACAACTCAAACCACTCCTCCCTTTCTTTGGGGGAAGCACAAAGATACGAAGAAGCTAAAGCAACACTTTCTAGGTTTCAGTAAAGCAAATAAAAACTTCTTGGAGAGGTACACACGTTTAAGTCACAAACTATCACTTCCTCGCTTCCCTAAGAGGCTCATACAAAAAAGGTTCAAATTTCGTAGTTTAATTACAAGATAACTACAGAGAGGTCTTCTCGAGGAGGCACACACGTGTTAAACAATATGCAAATAGTCAAAATACGTCCCCGAAAGGTACAAGCAAACAGCAAGATTCGGAATACGGAGCGGTCTTCTTGGAGAAGGTCTCATGTCTAAATTTTCAAGAAATATCTCTCCTTGCAACTCCAGGAGGTGCACATAGAAAAGTTTCAAACTATATCTGGAAGGACCACACACTCACAGCGGGTATCCTGTCCAACTACGCAAAAATAAAATGCCTCGCTCCAATTTATAGGAGGGAGATGAGGTTCTTTTAATATCTGTATACCCGGTGTGAGATTAAGAAACCGAGATTAAGAAACAACGGTTCATATGTTAGTCCAACCAGTTTATTATACATCCTAATTAGGGAGACGGGGAAGGGAAGGAGGGCGATAGAAAAGATAGGAAAGAAGCAAGAACGCCATAAAGCAGGGATAGTCACCACCAGGATCCAGCAGCGGTACCGTTGCACGACGTTTCGAAGGTCCGAGGCAGAAGCAGCGGGGGGAGGGGGGGGAGCAGCAGCGTGGCCGGTGTTGGGCAGCAAGCAGGTAGCAGGAGGCAGTCGCAGAGCCAATCCGAGAGGGGAAACCAGGACTCAGGTAGCAGGGCCAGGAGAGTCCGTC